GAATATTTGGCTTTATAATCCTGAAACATGGAAGATGTGATATGTTTTATGGTGCTAGGAACTGAACCCAGGACCTCACATATTCTGACTGCTCTACTGTCGTGTTATATCACCAGCCCAAACTTTGAAGATATGTCTCAGGAACTTAGCGCCTCCTTCACGGTGCTGTTCTCTTTGTGACCAGCATTGACCTCTAACCCTGATATCACTTAAATATTGCCAATAGGTATTTGAGAGTTGAGTGCACAGCATAGGGAGGACTCAGGACTACTCTTCGTTTGAAGGACATCTTCATGAACATGTTGAGATATGGGGTTTTATGAGTAGAGTGAATTGTTATAGCAGAGTTCATGTAAGTATCTCTATGGACTTTGGAGAGAACTGGGCTTGAATCATGGAGCTGAATTTTGCTAGCTGTGGAATGTGAAGTTAGTTATAAAAGTGATCTGGGAGCCTGGCTTCCTGTCAGAAAGATGGCGATAAGAATTCCAACGAGAAGAGTGGTTAGCAGATTCATGAAGTGCAGTGCTCCTCATCACCCCCTTATGTCTCAATTTCTTCTTCCTGCTGCATGATTCAGAATTGATGCCCATGTTGAACTGAAAAGAAAATGTCATTAATCATCAATTTTGGCTCCATAGGCTTCCAACACCACAGTTGACCATGAGAACCCAGGCTGCTGCACTGAGGCCACCCTTGACCCCCGTGGTCTCTTTGTGTGTTCTTTACCCTCTTCCCCAAATCTCTTGCAGAGGAATGTGAGGTACTGAGTGGAAAGCCCTCTGTGCTCTGCCTGGCCAGTGCTCATCTTCATTAAATATGCATTGTGTGACTCCTACCCCCACACTGTAGTTTTGAGGAAACTCTTATGAAAATACACATATGAATTACTTAATGCTGTGGAAAAGTAAAACAAAAGAAGGATATGTGAGCCCCAGTGGTGTGTTTTATTGCTAATAATGATGAAATAATGAGCCCTAAGTCTGAACATTGGGTATCAATTGCATCTGAATGGGGACTATAATGGCTACTTTTCCAAGAGAGTACCTCACTAGTCAATTAAACCCCAGCTTAGATGTTGCTGTCAAAAGCATTTTGTAGATATGGCTGAATGTACAATCAGTTGATTTTAAGTTAAATAAATTATCCAGCGGGCCTCCTGAAATTAGCTGCATGAACTAATTGCATTGAAAGCAGAACTGAGGCTTCTCTGGAAGATTCTGCCTCAAGATTGAAGCATTAGCAGCTACCCCAGCTTCCAGGCTGAGAATCAGCTCTTCAAATTGCACCTATTACCTTCTACAACTATTTACAAGCCAGTTCCTTGAAATGGGTTTACATACTCATATGTGCATCCTTAAATTACTTTCAGCAGTTGTTCCTGTCTCCTTGGAGAACTCTATCTAGTTCAGGTGTGCTTGAAGGCTCCTTTATTCTTTTTCTTTTACTGGTGCTAAGGATCAAACCCAGGACCTTTCATGTTAGGCAAGTGTCCTACCACGGGACTGCCTTCTCAGTTCTGTCAGGAACTCTCAGAAGGGGGCTGAGGCAGGATGGTGGCAAGTTCAAGGCTTCCCTGGGCTGTTGACTGAGTTCAAGACCATTATGGGCAACTTAGCTGGATTCTATCTTAAAATTTAAAAAAATTAAAAATTAAAAAAAAAATGAAGGGGTAGGGGACTGGAGATATATAGCTCAGTGGTGGAGTGCATGTCTAGCATGTGCAAGATCCTGGGCTCAAGCCCTGAGTACTACAAAGATAAGCAATAGTTCTTTATCCTGCTTTAACCATATGATGGCATCTTACAGAAATGAAGTATCAATAGCTGCACACTCTATAGTCCATTTCTATCAGGCCCCAAAATTTCCTTTGGTCAAGGTAGGCAACCTCCTTTGGCAATGACAGGCATGACTTAACCTATGAGGGTTCACAGGAGACATCAACAGGATTACAAGTGGCCAACAGAATAAATGTAAATGGTAAATTAATAACTCGTCTAAAAATATACCCATTCAGGAAGAAGTCACAGAGCTGAAACTGGTTGGCATGCTCCTCTCCAGGCAAAATTCGGACCTTAACTAGGGCACAAAACCCCCGTTTTCTAATGATGGCTGCACTGCAGTTTCTAGAATGAATGCACAGGAGGACAAATTGCGGCGCAGAGCGATATTACCGAGAGGATAAATCTGCTTTCATTTCTAGTAGGCTGTCCTTAATCGTATGGAAATAAACCTTTGGTGGAAAGTGAGATTAAAAACTATGACATCATCTAAATTTAGAGCCACTGCTCCAAGCTAAAAATCTGAGTGGGCTCCAAATTTCATTTTCTCGTCTCTGAGTTAATTTTTCTACTTTATTCCTTTTCTTTGTTGCAAAGCTTCCTCGCAGCACTTTCAGAATTTGGAGGACGAAAATAAAAACCTCTTCCCAGGTTTCTGATTTCCCATTTCCTTGCTGTGTATTTCATTAGGTGCTTGCTTCAGTCATTTCTTACACCTTCCTATAAATTTGGTTATCAGAGACTGAAATCAATGGCAGGAGCCAACCCTGTTTCTAGAAGAGAAGTGCAACAGGGGTATAAGCTTGCAGTAACCTGCCAAGAACAAACTCCCCTAGAGGCCAGAAGGCTCCAGGTAACTAACGAAACCAGAGCATGCAGGACTTGCTAATGACCAGGATGCATTGCCTTTTGTAGGGTGGTAACCTGCACTCCCACACAAACACAGGACTGACATGAGGGAAGACACCTGGCCACAGACAGCAGAGAGATGGGATAAGCAGAACTAAGCTCCAAGTCCCGCCTTCCACAGCATCATGTGACTGCGGAGCCCTGCTGGGGTGTTTCTTTCTTATCTATCTATCTATCTATCTATCTATCTATCTATCTATCTATCTATCTATCTATCTATCTTAATATTAGTTACAGTTTATTAACTTTGTATCCCAGCTGTATCCCCACTCCCTCATTCCCTCCCAATCCCACCCTTTCTTCCTCATCTTCTCCCTGCCCCTTTCCAAGTCCGCTTCCCTTTCATCTCACCCTGGTTTATCAGGTATCTTCAGGACTGGCTGCAAAGTCCTCCTCTGTGGCCTAGCAGGGCTGCTCCTCCCTCGGGTGTGTGTGTGTGTGTGTGTGGGTGGGGGGAGGTCAAAGAGCCAGCCATTGAATTCATGTCAGAACTGTTCCCCTTACTAGAGTACCCACTTGGATACTGAGCTACCATGGGCTATATCCAAGCAGGGATTCTAGGTTATATCCATACATGGTCCTTGGTTGGAGAAATAGTCTCATAAAAGACCCCTGTGCCCAGATATATTTGGTCCTTGTGGAGCTTCTGTCCTCTCCAGGTCATATTAACTCCCCTTTCTTTCTTTCTTTCTTTCTTTCTTTCTTTCTTTCTTTCTTTCTTTCTTTCTTTCTTTCTTTCTTTCTTTCTTATGATTCCCTGCACTCTGCCAAAGGTTTGGTTATGAGTCTTAGTATCTGCTTTGATACACTGCTAGGTAGAGTCTTTCGGAGGCCCTCTGTTACTTGTTTTCTCCTACATCCAATGTCCATCCCATTTATCTTTCTAAGTGAGGATTGATATCTTACCCTGGGTCCTTTTTCTTGTTAATCTTCTTTAGGTGTATAGATTTCAGTATGTTTATCCTATCTTATAGGTCTATATAAGTGAGTATATACCATGTGTGTCTTTCTGCTTTTGGGATACCTCACTCAGGATGATCTTTTCAAGGTCCCACCATTTGCCTGCAAATTTCATGATTTCTAACTTGCACAGGAACATATTCTTGATTTCCTCTGCATCTTCAGTTGCCTTCTCTTCACGTCCTTCTTAATCTTCCTTTCTAATTTCCAGGCCTTCCTCCAATCTGCTTTCCTTCTATCCTTGACGTGAAGTTATGATATTTCTCGCCTCCTTGCCCCTTCCCATCACAGCTTCCTCTTCTTTACCTGTTTGCTGAGTTCTATCAAACTTCCAAGAAAAGTTCCTTTCTCTGATCTTAACTTTTCTGCTCCCACTGACATGTTGTGGCTTTAATCATTGCCTTCTAATCACCCATGGACTTACTTTTTCTTACTAAAAGAAGAGGGATTTTGTCACTGCCAAAACAAAACAACAACAACAACAACAAAACAAAAACAAAAAACAAAAAAACAGCTGCAAAGACCCAACACATTCAGTTCACAGTGCAATTGTCTGTTTTCTCCCACATGGTGCTCTTGACTGGATTAACCATGGACCGCTTGCTTCTACAGGGCAAAACACTTCAGCATGACTTTTTAGCCCTCAGACTCACAATGGCAGGGCCTGTCTGAGCTTCTGTGTTCACACTGATGGCTAGAGCTTTTGTTTTTTTAAATGCTTTTCAGAGGAAAGAGTTTACCTAAGTGTTCCTGAGGGGAATACAATGAGCAACGCAGTTTTATGTACTTTAGCAGACTCCCAGTCCTCAGCCCCATTCATTTCTACTCCTACCCCATCATTTTACACAGGCAACAAAGGTACACGGTGGGCTCCTCAGAGACAGGTGTAGCTCAGTCCTGTCCAAGCCCATTAGACCAGCCAAAGCCTGCAAACACCACTGAGACTGTTCAGTGAAGCAGGTCTCTGGACAGCCCAACTGGAAGTAAGAATTTTAGATAGAACAACAAAATAGATACATTCTTTAGGACCACAGGATTTTGTTACCTGAAAATATCAGATCACCACAGAAAAAAACAAAAAACAAAACCAAACAAAAACAACAACAACAAAATAAAACAACAACCCACACTCACACAAAAACCTGCTGCGTACACGTGACACTTTCTCTTTTCAGCACTTGACAGTGGTTTCCGTGGTTTTAGATTTTGGAATCATTCCTTGGTGTGAGTTTGCCCGTGCACTCACTTTACCTTTGCGCGCTCCTCAGGATGCAGGCCTCATTCCTCCATGATGAGGGCAGCGGAACCTGCCCTCAGGAGGGCCTGCCAGGTTGTCACTAGAAAGGATACTTGTGGTCAAATCCATACCACATCCTGAAGAGCTGTGCACTCTCCGTCTTTGTCGTGTTTTTGTCCAACTTACTTGCTTCCTGGAACGAGACCACAGAAAACGGAACATCTTAAATATGTGTCAAACCAAATCCAATTTAACTATATTATTAAAGAAACAGTTTTTTTTTTAAAGTCTAGGCATGTTCATCTTAATGGTGAAAGAGTTTTCAAATTAGCTCTGAGATCTTTCTGTGCGGATGAGACTTTGGCACAATCCGACATTCACTTTCTTAATCATCTCGATTTTATTAAATAGCTAAGAGACATCACTTTTGGACGTCAGCGAAAGTGGCGCATCTGTCATATTGCTGTGTGAGAATTTTGCAGCCCGCTTAAGTTAAATGTGGGTGGCATTTATTTATGGATACTGAGAAATTACTAGAAAAATAATAGCCTAATGATTGTTATACTGGTTTTTGTACATTTTCCTTTTGATAGATCACTGTTAAAGGCCATGACTGGTGTTTGATACCTTTTTTGTTAGGATTAGAAACAGTTCAAAGAGTTGTTCCTGAAGGGAAGCTAGCACGAACTGTAGATGTATTTGCTTCTTCACTCCCCAAATCACCATAAAGCAAGGAAGAAGGAAATAAAGACAAAAGAGAAAATGTATCTGATGGCATTGACTGAGAATGGCAAAGAAAAGGGGAGACAGGAAAGATTTTGTGCTAAAGATACTTGCACTGCAGTAAAACGGGTCTTTGGGAGCATTTGGATGTTTCAGTATTTCATTTTGCGTATTAAGGAAAGTGAATTCCAATCAATTTCATGTGATGGCCATTTACGCTGGGCTTAATATGGCTTTTCTGCTTTGTCTGGTCCCGGAATTCCACTCCTAACTATGACTTGGCTGATAGAAATAAAGCGAGCATTGTTCTGATGGATGATGACGCACGGGAGACCGTGGAAACCTGCCCGCTACGTCGAAGTCAGCCCTCCTCAAGCCCAGGACGGTTTGATCTTTTTGTTTTTAACTTGTTTGTTGCTCTTCCCCAGCCAGCTCCGTTACTGTTAACAATGCTCCGCTCTGTGAAATGTCCACTGTAGTACTGGTTGAAATTTCTATGTAGACCAGGCTGGCCCAAACTCATGGAGAACCACCTGCCTCTGCCTCCCGAGTGCTGGGACTGAAAGACCTGTGCCTCCACCTTTTGACCTTTTATAATGACCATTGAAAACACCATGAAGAGTTAATGTTTTCACACTTATACCCTAGGCTGTAGCTCCCAATTTCCATTCCCAGTTCTTCCAGGAGACCCTGTTGTCTCTCACGGGTGTTATGAGGTCTCTGCTCTGTGAAGGATGGTGCGCCATGGCTTGGTCTCAGGAATTAGAATTTTTACCCATTTATCTCTGAAGGAAATGCACTCATCTGCCTCAGTCTGCCTGTGCTTCCCGACGTGTGTGTCTCTGCAGCCATGATTCACCTGATAACAGTGTCAGAGCAACCGCTTTGTACAGCAGTTTCCGAATTGTGAGATAACTCCAGACATGTTTTCAAGCCTCCGCTGCCCACACACAGCATGACGGGACTAAGCTTCCAGAGTAAAACCTCTCCTAATGAACTGGACTAGTTCAAAACGTACCAAATGTGGGAGCCTTCCATCTCCTTTCCTCCCTTTCCTCAAGAACAAGGACTTTGAGGGTGGGTGTTTTACCCATCAACAAGGTGTGGCTGATTTCAACAGCCAGTAGCACCTACCAGTTACAAAACAGTCACTAAGTAAAGTGTTGGAACCGCAGGGCTCCCCCCAGCCCCCTTTTAGAGAAAGGTTAAGGTGGTAAGCTTGGATGGTGTTTGGAGGCTCAGCTGCCAGCTTTCAACAGCCCAGCTGAGTGGCTTTGTAATAATGACAGTTCCTAGCTATTGAAGGCTCGTTAGCTTCCAGGCAGTGCGCTAGTCATATTATGCAGCCATTAATTTCTCCAATCATTATCTTTCAATTTTCACCACAATCCATCTAGGTTGGTTGAGTTGTAGCTACTCTGCACTCAAGGACCCAGAGACCCCTAGAGTCCTAGGGAAGATGTGAGCCTAAATTCACAGTTATCAAGAAACATCACTGATTTCAGTTTGGGACTGAATTGCTAGACTTCAAAGATGACGTTTCCTCCAAGTGTCTCACATTTAAACGGTGGAAAGCAGCCATTCCCTAAAGGGCAACATAATTTCATAGGTTTTTTTTTATTTTAATCCCCCTCACTCTCTCCCTCTCTCCTGTTCTTCCTTCCTCATACTCTTTCATAGACCGATCTCAAACTTGACATCCTTCTGTCTCAGCCTCATGAATACTGGGATTATAGAACATTTATAGTGTGAGTTACAGTTTCTTAACTATAAAATTAACTGAGGAGATCAGCCCGGTCTCTAAGGGACTAAAGCCCTTCGGAATTACTATATGTGTGTTACTGACCACTATACTAGCAGTGGCTGTCTCTTGTCCTTCCATGTCAGACAGCATCGTAGGTGATTTTTGTACCTTGTAGGTTCTAGTAATAAGTCTAGAACGTATGCTTTGTCATTGCCTCTAGTTTCTCTCCATTTATTATTTATTTAATCACTTTATAGCCTGATCCCAGCCCCCTCCCTCCCCTCTTCCAAGTCCCACCCTCACATGCCTCCCCCCCATTCTCCCTTCTCCTTCTCAGATAAGAGAAGGTCCCCAAGGGGGTGCCAAGTCACCCCAGCCCGTCAGTTATTTTAAGGACAAGGAACCCGAAGGTGAGTGGGGAACATGGATATTTCTAGCACACTTTAAATTCCCCAGCAGCAGGCATTCTTCATCTGGCTAGAGCTCTGGTGTGTAAACAGGAAGCCACTGAGGGCAGAAAGGGTCTCTGAGCAGGAAAACAAGGTCAGGATACTGGTATGCTCCTGGACACAGGGATGGAATTGCTACCTACCATTTAGACTCCTGGGCACTTTTTTCAAAGTTTTTTTTTGTGATCTTAGAACTTCTCCTCTCTTGTTTTTCTGCTTTCCCCCTCTGTTTCATTTTGCTTCCCAAGAATACAATATTGGAACTCAGAAGCACTAATAAGAAGACATACTTCTGTAAAAACTTCTATGAATTTTTTTTTTTTGTCATCTGATGGGTACAATATATAATTAAAAACCTTTATTTTAGTTGACTGGAGATGTTATTCATCTCGCTACTTTCTAAAGAAGTAAATTGAGTTCTAATTATAATAAACTGGGTACAATGTATTTTCCCAGGTGGGAAAAATTTCACTGATGACCAAGAATTGACCGTTTTGCTGATCCTAGTTAAAAATTTCAATACGTATCTTAAACATCTGTTGGCTCAGTTCTGGATCCATTAATTTATTTCTCTGGAGTTATTGATGACTTAATAACTTGGTTATGAAAGGCCATTAATACACGAGTAGAAATAAATGAGTTAGTCCAGTGTGTGTTCCACTTGTGCAGTGGGGGCTAAAGGTAAATGTGCCAAAGGAAGGCTAGCCTTTGCAGTCACACTGGAGTGGGGAAGGTATCTGATAAGGCAGCACGGAGAACAGGCTCCTGGAAGGGTCCCAATATGCAGAGGACCAGGAGGGGTATCAATCTATCTATATTATTCTAAAATAGGGACCAACGCATACTTCAAGGACAACGGATGTGAGCAGCCATCAGAAGGAGGATCTATAGCTCCGTGGTATTTTTCTTTATCACCAGCAATAGTTATTCTCTGGTAAGTTTCCTTATTCCGGAGAAGTGATACGCGTTTTAGAACAAGCATAGGGTACAACATGTCCTCACCTTTCCTATTCCCAGATGAGTTCTTAAATGTTCCCAAGACCAAGACTGGACTTTCCTCCATTGAATAACAATGATACACTCAACCAACTCGGAGGCCTCAGGTTTCCCAGCTCTGCATGGGAACTGGAAATTCAAGCATGTTGAATTGTACCTTTTATTTGCCTTGCTACATCTAAGAAGCAGAATGATGGATGTATATGGAATTTCTGGCTCCCTTATTATCTTCTATTTCTGGGAACATTTAAAAATGGCTAGGTAATCTGATCTTTCAGTTTCCCCCCATGTTGAACAAGGGAATAGAGTAGAGATTGGGAAATGACTGGAAACAGCAGGGTGTGGATCCTTTTCTTCATATGTGGCACCACCTCGAGAGGAAACATTATGATGGTCTTCTTTATTTTGGGTTATTTGGACTGGCGGGGGGGAAAAAAAAACCAAAGGCTCTGGTGAGAAATCTACAAAAACCAGACATGGAAACAAAAAAGGACAGTGCACTGCATGGGTTTCAAAGACAAGCACTAAGCGAATGACAAGGCTTTCCCCCACTACTGTGCAAATGAGGTGTTTGCCAACTGGATTGGGCAGCCTGGAGTGGGTACCCACAGGAGTTGTTCCACATTTTTCAAGTAGGTCATGTGAAGGCACACTTTGCTTTCTCTTTCTCAGTAGTTCATAGTCAGTAGTAATATCGGTAGAAGTTAAGTGAAGTGATTGCTTTAAGGGTTCTGAAATAATGCTGTGAGGCCCCTTCTGGGTTCCCAAGTTGCTTTTTGGGTGGTCCATGTAAGTGGAATTGGCTTTTGGTATTTTGCCTTATCGCCTCCCTTCAGGATGAAGAGTTTTATGTGGTAATTTCAAATTTATGCCTTGGGTTACTAATTACCAAGGAGAGAACCAAATTCTGTGCTCTAAAGGGAAAGATTCCAGGATTCTAAAGGGAGGTCATAACATAGCCAAAGGGCAAGTGAAAAGTTTTTAAGTTACCTTTCAAGAGGTCAACCATCCTTGCTTTAGTCCCCCCATAGAAACACTTTAGGCAAATGTTCTCACCTTTCCCAAACCCAAATAAATTCTCAAATGTTCCAAAGAAGGCAGTCAGGAAATGCATGTACAAGAAGAAAACATTAGTGTTTATGGACAGAACAGTAAGTGAGACACAGTGATACATTCAGCAGCATTTAATTTAATCACCCAGGGAAAGGAGTCTTTTTGTGTGTATTTGTATAAATCCAGTTTCCTCTTCATATATTAAATACTGCCATACTGTATATTAAA